GTTATACTCATTTACAATGTAATCGTGGTCCATCACCAGCTTGTTTGGATTGGACAGAGATTTGCGATGGTCAAGTTGATTGCATCGATGATAAAGTGGATGAAAAAGATTGTTGGAAAATTGAAATTCATGTATGTCAAGATGATGAATTTCAATGTTCGAATGGACAATGTATACCTATGGCTTTTTATCGTGATGATGGTACTATTAATGATTGTGCTGACTTGACAGATGAACATTCGCCACAACTAATAGGAACGTTGCGCTTCGTTTATAAACCACCGTCATTTATAAATGAAGAGAATCAATTTCGTCCACTACCCATCGGAAATCTTAATTCCGGTATGCGTCGAAGCCATTTATTTCAAGCTTTATTTTTGGCTAAAGATAACTCTACATCCGAAGATTGTTGGTCAGCCCTTAGATCTACAATCCAACAATCAATATATGAAAAGCCACTTTTTAATAAGACATGTGTGAAACAAGAGTGTTTTGAAATCATTGAGAAAGAATGTCCAGATCTTTTTTATTTCCCTACGGTTCCAGTCTTTTTTCATAACATTCGACTGGCATTCAACAAAACCGATCTGTCAATTCACAAGAGTCTATACTATACTGCAGCTTTCATATGTTACAATAGTTCTGATTATGAGTACTATGTTCCTCCTGGTGAAAATTTTTTATTCGATAATACAACCTGTTTCCGTCCTGGCCGCATATGGATTTCTAATATGATGAAATACACACTGGAAGAAGAATATCTGTCTCCTTTGTATGAATTCATAGATAATATGAAACCATACTTTTTAATTTATAACTATACTTCTGGAATGTGTAATAGATCTAACATATATCATTGTATCAACTCTTCAAAATGTATCTCAATGAATCGTCTGATGGATAGTAGTGTGGACTGTCCAAATGGTGATGACGAAAATCTAACGCATATTATAGATACTGGCTGGACAGATGTTTTAAAAAAAATTTTTCAATGCAAGATGGTTAACAAATATATTTATCAATCGTTTGTTAAAGATGGATACTGTCACTGTGAAGGGCAGCATGGCCGTTACTGTGAAGACGAAGATGAAGATTTTGCTTTTGCTAGAACGAAGCTTTTATTTCAACACGTTTGTGATGGATTAACTCAACTGATTCCAATAAATAATGACAAACAAAATGAAACAGATGAAACAGAATGTGAACAATGGCCATGTAATAACATTTATACTCGTTGTGATGGCATTTGGGATTGCCCGAAGGGTGAGGATGAAATCGGTTG